TTGATGATGGCAGAGTGCACTTTACACCAGTAAAAAAATCTGACAATAATCTATGACCTTTTTTACCTTAGCATTTGCTCAGTGTAAGGCGAAGCACTGATTACCCGCTATCGTATGCCCCATTTCTAACAAGATGATAAGCGAGGCAGGAATAGAGAGGCATGGCACCGAAACCTTGACACACTGACACTTTTGGCATGACATAACAGGGCTGTCCGTAGTCCCGCCCAAGATCACCCGCATTCACTTAGCATTACGCACGATCGACGACCTCCTGACCTTGTTGTGCTGAGTTTTCTTTAGCTAACTAATTTCTGATACCATCAAATTGCTCACTGATTACCAATACGTGAACATGGCGCCAGTATTCCGTAGGTAGAATCAGGCAGACAGATAACTACCCTTCCAGCACCAAGTCTGCATACACTCCTACGAGACGAGGAAGTCAGAGTGGGTGTCGCCCTTCGATTCGGACTTCCCGTGGTAGAAGAGCATCACTGCGCGAATTGCGGAAGCCTCGTGGAAGTAAATGGCCATCACGGTCTCTCCTGTTCAAGCAGCAAGGGGAGATGGTCACGTCATACCGAATTGAACAACGAAGTTAAACGCTCCTTGGAGACTGCGGGTTACCCTTGTCAGTCCGAACCGTCGGGCCTGTCAGGTAAAGAAAACAAACGTCCCGATGGTATGACTTTGATTCCTGTACGCGATGGGAATGCGGTTGTGTGGGATGCAACTTGCTGGGACACTGTAGCCGTCTCTCACGTGCACGCTAGTTCTTTGAAAGCCGGAAGTGTAGCGCAGATGGCAGAAGACTACAAGCGCCGGAAATACGCCTTCGTATAGGATTTGGGGTATCTTTTCTACGCTCTGGCCGTCGAGACACTTGGGACATTTGGATTGGCTTTCTCGGAGCTAATCCGTTTCGTCGGCAGCAAGATTCGTGTCATTACCGGAGAGCCTCGATCTACAGCCTTTTTGAGACAACGTTTAAGTTTAGCTGTAGTCAGAGGGAATGCAGCGGCTGTTTTGGGTACATTTAACGCACGTACTAAATTCACGAAAGACGCTAATGATTTTGGATGTTTTTTCAATGTTTAAAATTCGGAACTTTTATTAGTGTAAACCCGCGCAGGCGTATTCTTATATTTACCAATAATTTATTCGTACGACTACCGTACTACAATGCTGTAATAGAAACTGGATGGCGATTAACAATCATTGGCGAGTACAACTCGACACTGATTGGTGATAACAATTTACAGACAATAACTAGAGTGAAAATTTGATCGGTTCCACAAAACTGTGCTCTCAGTCAAAATTTATGCAACTAATAAATCTGTCTGCCTTGTCCTGTATTTGACTTACAACGAACAGCCAGTGCTTTTCTATTAAAACACAACCGACGCGAGAATATTATTGTTTATTAGATATTACAGTGATACAGTATCGTTTATTACTGTTAATATTATTGACTATTTAATGAAATCTGTCCATACAGTCGACAATCTCGTTGTCTTTATACCGACACCCACATGGACGATATTCCGGCATACTTCTTCCAGCTCCCAGTAAAGGGACCCCGCGAAATCAACTACGGGAACATAGTTCTAGTGGAGCGTGACAACGGTGAACGATGGCTAGGTTACGTGCAGGACATTGATGGCGACCTCATGCTCATTGATTTCGATTGCCGCACGGCCGCCGCCAGCTGGATCCATTCGCGGCATGTACGCGCGCAACGCTTCCTTAATGATGGCTACGCGACGTGGAAGCCAATAGATGAGGAAGTGGCCGCCACGGGCAGGTGTAGCGTGCAGGTGGCGCTGCGCAGAACCGCGGATGGACCGTACATTTTCCGTCCGGCCCATCTGCTAACACGGACGGCGGTACTGGGCCAGTGCTACGTTCGGCTGGACCACCCGACCGCACCCCAGTATGCGGTGGCGCATCTGTGGCAGGTTGCCGTCAATAGGGAGCAGACTCTTGATGAGCCGCCGCTGATGAACCAGACTCGCGGAATATACTATCGCAAGTTTATGGTTCCCTTCGAAAATGCTCAACTGATTAATAGGCTGGATGTGGAGGCCCTCCGGAAATGTGTTTTTAAAGCAGGAGTAAATCAGCCTACAGCGCGCGTTGACCTTAGTCGATTCTGTCGGGACTGTAATGTCTGGGTGGCATACCGATTCTTTGCCCGTATTACCGGCGATGTTCTGCATTTCATCTGCGCCCAGCTCTCCGGCAGACGTCCTCAGGATATTTCGGAATGGGATGACGACACTCTACTACAAGCATGTACGAGCTTTTATCCCACTCCATCACCGTTGGACGGCATAATGGATGATTCTCAGCAAGGGTTCATATACGGTACGTTCGGTATTTGTTGCAGAGTGTCTAAATTAACAGTATCCGGCTACTTCGGTTGACGACTTAAAGTTTTCATCCGTGTTAATTAGCAAACTTGGATGTTGCGTGCGCAAACGGTGTTCAGGCCGATCTGGTCGAAGAATGTCATAGAAAAATAATATAAAAAACGCGTTTGGCATTACGCAAAAATAACAGTATTAGTCATTGTGCAGGATTTTGGTATCCTGTATGGTTGTATCGGCACACTTCCCATAAGCTGAACTGCAGTTTACTCGTAGACCAAGACGGATGGATTGGTAACATGTTGCATCCGATTATGACCGACGTCCTCATCAATCTGGATCTCTACACTCAAGCTCGAGCAGAAAGGTTAACAGTTTTTGGCGTGACCGTCTCTAAGTGCTCGGTCATGCCAAAAAACCGAATACATCCAGGACATTTTTCTGGTTTTTGATTGTCTCAAAATCTTCGCTATTGCGGCTGCGTACAGAAATTAGGTCCTCACATTTATACAGATTGCAATGTGTATTAGGGTTTGTGCAATGTGGCGGCAGCTTTTAGTCGTCCAGCGTGCCGTCAGCCGGCATGTTACCATCGACAGTTCCATCGTGATTCTGGACGAACGGTCCCAACTGATTTGCGATGCTACCTATACATTCACCTGGCGTCTGCATCACGCCATAACCGACCGCACCGAAAGCCTGATGATGCTGGATAATGTCGATCGCACCAATTTGAAAACAGTGACGACACTGGTGGTCGCGCTACTGACCGCCAAGAAGATCCAGCTGCGCTACATCCTCATCCGCGATGGCCGTGCTCGGGGTGGTATTACGAATAAACCGGACCACCGGAGCGTAGGCCCACCACACGGCACCAATATGGCTGACGGCGTATGGCGCTGCGCCAACCTAACCCTTCTGACATCCGTCAGTCACCGGCTGGTTCTGCGCAATTACACCGTGGAGGATATGGTCAGCGTCGGGAATATGATCTCGGTGTTCCCTCATAACGATGATGACATCATACGACAGTTTGGCGGTTATATGGCGTCCACCAGGGAGTTACAAACTCACCGCCCCCTCCTGCTTATGATTCCCTATGTCATATTGCACACCGCTGAGGGAGTGGCCGGTGTGCTGCGGACGTTTCTCGCAGCGGCCGAGCGGAACTGTTCTCCCATTGGCCCAGCCGTCTACGATCGAGTACGGGCCATTCATCGTCGCTGGCGGGACAATCTGCAGTATCCCGATCACTGGCGTCTCCTTCGCGAATTCCTTCAACTGTAGGTTGGTTTAAATAGGCCCGTTACGTAATTTAAGACGGTATTATGGATGTGTAGGTACAGCGGTTTCCATCCGGATGGCTGTGCACGGGACTGGACGGATGTTGACCTTAGACTGCTGGATGTGACCAGCCTGACGAAACTGGCAGTGGCCGCCATTGACGCGCATTTTGAATTTGCGCAAACTTAGGAAAGAGAGGCTCAACGTCCTCGTAATACAATGTTTTGTGTAAGAAGAAAAGAAGCGTATTCACTCGTTCAAAGCATTGTCGCAACTGTCGTTACTCGCAAGTGTGATTGGCAAAGTTACAATTAACGATGTTAATGGGTTTTAATGTTAGCTGGAGCCTGGAGGTTGTGTGCTCCCGCTCTTTCCTTTCGCCTTCTGTAGCCAGTTACCTCAGTCTGCGCCGCTACGGCCGCTTAGAACAAAGCGGCCGCCGCCTTACACGCGCCGGCGCCGGCCGTTTGCACTCGGCACTGTTCCTGTGCCCGCACTTGGTTCTGCTTTTGGTTCTGCATATTTGCGTTTGCTCTGTCACTGCATTTCTGTTCATGTGCCTGCGAGTGATTTTTGTTCTTTACCGCCCACCACACCCTGCTGTTCTTTGTTGTTATTTCGCGTTGCTCAATAAAGGGGCCTTCGGTTGCGCAGGGCACGGATCGCGGTCGGTCGCCGACCTCCGGTCGGCCGGCTTCTCGCTGACCCACGGTCACCGCACACAGCCGCTCACGAGGGTACCAGTCGCTCCTAGATTTGATGTGTTCCTAGATTTGATGCGGCTACAGGGTATATGCTTGGGCGAATGTTTAAATATACAAAGGCTAAAGAAACTGTAATGGTGGAGCCACTGGAGCGTTACATATACGATTATAAAAAGTAATTCACCGCCAAAAATCACCAGTAGCCTAAACTGCAATTGCTTCTGACAGCATATTGCGCAAACAGGTGCAACTGTTTTCGAAGCCAGTGCTAGCGCCTAGCGATTTGTGCGCAATGATTGTTGTTTTGACTTTTGTTTGCCTGATTTACTAATAAATCTATGCACCGCAGACAGAGTTTTTAGGCCTACTTTGTGATAATGCAATCGAAAGAGGTGCAAGTACTATGTACGTAAAGCGCTTCCGTAACGTAATGCAGTTATGTCCGTAGTTCGTACTTCGCTGCTGTTCTTACGGGAAACATTGCTGCTGAATGGTTTGCCAAAAGAGAGGCTCGCTACTCAGTGACAGTTTGGCAAAACAATTAATAACAATTTGGCACAACAGTTAATAACAGTTTGGCACAACAGTTCAGTGTTCTTGAATCTTGAGTACGCCTGGAAGATTATAACATTCAGCCATTTATTAAGCAATATTTTTACCTTTTGGTCAGCCATGATCAAAATTGCCTAAGACACCTAAGACACGCCAGTACCGGTATGAGGATAGCTTTACTGGTAAAAAAAGTACTGTCCGGTATTAAACGGGCTTCTGCTAACTGCTAAGTGCAAATTACACAAAGGTCATCCTAAGACATCACAACCTGTCCGAACCTCTTGACCTGTGAGGCACGGAAGAGTAAATCTGACGTTGACATTTGTCAAACGACGTTTTTATTGGGAACTGGGCTGCAGCCGGCCGGCCAGTACTGCATCCAGTCCACAGTGTATTCTTCGTACTCCTCGGCGCCGACCGCCCTGAAGGCTGCCTGCGATGCTGGATTGAACTTGCGCGTATCCAGCCACACGTTGACTTCACCCATGTCTTTAAGCTTCTGGAGTAACGCTCGCAGCACCAACTGGAAAAAACCCCGCCGACGGTAGTCCGGGTGGGTGTACGCGGCGGCAATAACGCCTTCGCTCTTGTATAGACAGTACGCGATGGGCGTGTCCGAGCCGGCGGGGAACACCGCCGCGGTGGGAAATTCTTTTTCGAGCATGTAGCGAAAGTAGATGGCGTTGTTGGTCATGTGACCGTAATTGCGCTCACGAGCGACTTGGTCGGCATGCTCTGGTTGCAGAGTTCCCAAAAGAAAACCATCGGGTATTTCAAATCTACAAACATCGTCGCAACAAATTAATTATCAACTGCAGTAAACGCGCAATCAAAAATTTAAATGTTAGGTAGTAAATTGGCGGGAAAACCAAACAAGTATAGAAAGGCGTTAACAGACGATGGCTTACTTCAGATTGAGCGTAGACCAATCGAGACGGTAGTAGCACTGTCCGGCCGGGAAGCCCTCAGTAGACGGTAAATGCTGGAACGTACCCCCGCGAAAACCCTGACCCACACCAAGAATGACGGCCTGCTCCTCTTCCGGTAAGTCTACATCAGAACGCTCTGATTAGTGTACCATCAACTTATGATTCAGTTTCATGGCGACGTTCTCTGGCGCGTACCAGCAAAGACAACATTCTGCGTCCAGTCCAGCGTATCCGGCTCGTCGAACAACATTCGCCGGAAGACTTCGGCGTCTTTGGAGTAGACGAACACCTGGTAGCCGTTCATTATGGGAACGTAGGCAGGGTCGCTTTTCCGTGGTCGGCAGATGCAAACGGACGGATGTGGGTAGGTGTCGACGAGGAACTCGGTGCCCGGCCAGGCGAAGCGCTGACGGAGGACGTTGCGCATCAGGTGATACATCTGCACAGCAATATAAGTACACAGTTCGCCATGACGTAACCTGACAATGCATACTTTTTGCATTCTACTGCTTGTGCTTCCTAAATTCACAAAATAAACACCCCTCTGTGGCTGAGTGCAAAACCATATAGAGAAAAAAGTGTTCCTGGTGCGAACAATATCGTTGCACTGTGCATATAATTTGCGGAATAATGGTTAATACCGGAAGGCTGCGAGGGAAATCGCTCTCCAACTGCGGCAAGAATGCCAGCATTTCTTCCGTAGTTAGCACTTTCATTGTTATGTCTTTGGGATGTGGATAGACTACTGCAGTTCTCGATGACAAGACGTACAGCGGTTAAAATTAACTGTGGATTTGGAGTTAAGCTATGAACGCTTTGCTGCACTACGGAAGGATACTGTTATATCATTACTGCGCTGTCTGTGCAAGCCCCCATAACAGTATAACACTGAGTCTGAGGCGACATTAAGTAATATTATAGTTATAATAACTGCGAGTACAATTCCTGTGCCCAACACGAAACGCTATCAGATTTTGTTATCAGCGATTCGGCAGCCGACAATTACAGAGTACTTACTGGTATTAGGTACATATGCTATACGCTTTTTCCACATTGCCTGCTGCCGAATATACATGGAAGGAAACTGCCGAGATAATTAACGAACTTTGGTATTTGTATGCGTACGCGAACAGACGATCGGCCCTGGCACTGACTGATTAACACTGATAGGCCTATTATGCTCGACATCAGGCCGAACGTGACTGCGCGACCACCGCCGGGATAGCGGTCGATATTCAGCCATCGAACGGCATCTTAGCTATATAAAATGTAAATACGTTGTGAATTACTCATAATAAATGCAGCGCAAGTAGAATATGGAAAATCTCAAATAAAAGATATGTGGTGTGAGCGAAAGGTCATGTAGCCTTAATGTTGTTACAATGGGCGCTATATTTATAATTTGTACAGCACGTTAATGTTATTGGCAACGGGAGCGCCAACGCAAAGCTAACTGCATAATCCTACATAAATGTCGCAAACATATTTTTCTCCCCGTCTGCAAGTCATCCGGCTGTTTATTCTCCGTATATCTCACGCTGCGGTGCTTGCATCAAAGTAGCGTAAACTTGTGCCGGCAGCTGAACGCGTCGGCGCTATTCTCCGTCACAGCACGGTTCCCACAATAGCCGCCCAAATATACTCTTACTAGGAAGTAGGAACGCTCGAACGAAAAAAGTTGCATCTGTCAATGGGCTTCTGTAGGAGCAGCGTGTACGGCTCGTTAAGCGGGAATAGCCGCTGAATCGATTGGCCAATTAGTCCAACAATTACGCGCTCCCGTCCCATTGACAGCGCCCGGCCAAGCGCAGGGATCTTTTCTTCGCCGTTCCGCGGAAGGAGGTTAATGGTGTACAGCCATCAGCGCCGCCAAACCACTAATGAATGAAAGTGTAGCGCGTGGTTAAGATAAGCAAAACAGTGTGTATTCGACATTCGCATCCGGACGACGCACAATCAGTGCGTAACCGCAGCGCCCCGATCATCCGGAAGCCGGGCCGACAATAGTCCCCTTCCGGTAGCGTAACGACACCCCGCAACCGCCCTCCGGGCGTGGTCACCCGGGACAGAATGTCTCCTGGAAGATGGATGTTGTGCAGCAAGTTTTGTGAAGAGCGCCATCGCGGCGGAATAATTTATAATAATAAAAACACGCGGTCGGCGCGCAAGAAGATGATTAAAGCCAGCAGTGCACGGCCCGGGCTCATGAATGGTAGCGGCTGATTGAATTATGGGGGGAGATCTCTGTCGGTGCCGGCATCGATTGGCGCTGCGGGCTGCAATGCAATCCCAATTATAGCCTGATGCGCGAGAACACTGCACACACACATACATCATACACATCACTCATCGGATGCGCTTTTATCCGGCTTCCTATCCGTGTGCGCCGCTTTGCCAGGGGAATCAATGTCATTCCCGCGAGTCGACTGGCCATTACACGCTGCCGCGGATTATCACTCTCTCTTTTTCATTTGTGTACATATATATACATACAACACAAATCGCGTAATATGCGCGGGAAATCAGTGGATTAGCGCGCCGATTTAGACACCGTTGGATAAATGCCGAACGGAACGATGGAGAATGCTACCTTTCCGTACCTGTATAATCTCCCGCAGGAGATGCAGTTCACCACGGTCAACGTGATCGTCATCGCCATCTATGCGAATCTACTATGGATCTCGCTGCTGGGGAATATCGTGGTGTTTGTTAGTTTGCTCCGGCGGAAGAAGAAAGGCCGCGTGCATATCCTGCTGATTAATTTGTGCGTGGCCGACACTATCACGACGCTGGTGGAGATGCCGTTGAAGGTGAGGAAGAATGTGTGTGCAGTAATTAAGCGGCTGTCAGTTAGAGCGCGCCGGTCCCCCGGAGAGCGGCGCTGGCGTGACCGGGGAATTAGCCGGCAACCGTATCTCTTGGCTGCGGCGAAAGACGGCCCGGGTAAATAAACAATTAGCGGCTAACGCCGCATCCGCCTAGTATGGTGATCTTACCGAACACCTTCACGTAATCCGCTGGGAGACAAGGCTGCTGTAATTAAATACCGTCAAGAAATAGTTTTTCTCGTCTCCGTTTTTTTTTCTTAATTTTGTTTGCCTGAAGGCACGATATCTGTTTTGCTTCCTCTGTTAAAAAATGTCTGGTATTTCCTAGGGAGATGGTTTTCTCGTAGTTTATTCTGATGCTACCGAACATCTTCACGTAAACCGCTAGGACACAGGTTCATGTAATTAAATACCGTTTTTTTCTTTTCCTGTTTTTTTTTTGCTTAATTTTATTTTCCTGGCGGCAACACATCGGTCCTGTTTCCTCTTTAGAAAATGTCTTGTACCTCCTGGGGAAATGTTTTTCTCGTAGTTTATAAATAAGGAAGTATTCTAACCGAGCGCCGGATACAGTGATCGAGTGGCGTCAAAACGCGGTAGTGACACTGAATCCCGGATCGCGGGAATATGATGATGCGCGCTGCACTCTTAATTGAATGAAATCCTAGATGTTGACCGCGCGGTTCGGGGTTACGGCGCAAGCAGCGCCAAAGTGCGCTTATGCAACTTTGCTCCCCTTAAAGCAAGCGCCCGGCCACAAGTGTCCTTCATTGTGTAACCGCTCTTTCCTGAAGACGCTGCATAATTAACGCTTAATATTCGCTCAGCCGGCATTTTAAGCTCTCTCCAGATAATTTCTGCATTATATGGAGATTAATGTTTTCCTCGCTCTACCGCTTTATTAACTTCTTTTAATTCATGCTCCTTCCAAATTCGGGCAGTTCCAAATTCGCCAGACGATTTTCCCAGCTGAGTCTTAGCTTCGACAATAATTTGCGGAAGTTACCGCAAAGCCTATGCGCTATATAAAGCACAGCATATTCGAGTTCATTTGAGGGACGTACGTACGTTCGTTTAAATGCGCGAAGCGCTGGACACACGTTTACAATACAGGATTCAAAAACCTGGAAATCGGCCAGTCGATTAGCGGTTCGAATATTTAGTACTGAAATAGTACTAAACTAAACTATATTTAGTACTAAACAGAGTGCAACAGGAACACATCCAATGCGCATTAAATCGCTAACACCGGGTTCAAACAGAGAAGCCCTCGTTTGCGAAATAGGTATGCGTTAAGACGCAGCTATTTTTTCGTTGTAAATTGTAACTTCCAACTGGCTTACTCATGATTTTGCGGTGATTTTTTAAGCGATCGGCAATCAGTTAAAGGGAAAAAAACCCTGTCTAATGTCTGGCATCTTATATCATGTACCGGCTACCTTTAACAACTTTAATATCAGGGCAACCCCGACCGCGGGCGCTGTAACGCGGCCTCCCGCACATCCACCGCTCCGTGCGTCACAGGTCAGAATTCAATTAGCCGCGCACGGCACTTGCGGCTGTGTTGCTGCGGCTTCCTTTCGGCCACTTGGGCCCCTCGCTGTGCCGGCACGCCAGGCCGCTAACGAGCCTCCCTGCTGGCCAACCGCCCCACGCTACCGTTTTTTCCCGAGAAACGTTGGCCGCGTTCCGCATTTTTTAAGCCCTACTGGCCACTTTTTCCCGGGGTTTTCGTGTTTCCCCGGTTTTCCTCGAGACCTGTCAGCGCCGATCACACGACCGCTTGTGTACTTTTCTTTTCTTAAGCGGATATGATGAAAAGCCGGTCGATGACAGAAGAAGCGCGCGCGTCAACAAATGCACCGCTTAACGGATTAAGCGCTGCCCGTCGGTGTATGGATCGCATATAGACACAGTCAACAGCGTGTTTGGTTAGCGCGACTTTGCGGCTTATCCCGTCCAGAGAATCCCCCCTTCATTGGCCCATTACGCTAATATCCCGACGCGAACAAATAAACATCCCGTCAGTGGCAAAGCAACTGCCGGCTATTGTCCCGGCCAGAAGACGCTAATGGTCGGCGTTGTCACTGCGACACTTTTTTAATCAGTTCCGCTTATGTACATTAATAATACGCTCGCCTGTCAACGCCGCTCGCCGCCGGCTGATGATGGAATGCGCGGCGCGCGCCGGCTAGCGTTCAATTAACACCTAGTTGAGCGCTCGATCTGTCTCGCTAAAGAATACTTAGACGTTGGGAAAAATAAGCGGTTAAAAAATGGCGCCAAATTCAAATACCGTACACCAAAAAAGCGTTTTGGTTTCGCGCGATCGAAACAATTTTTTGTTCTAATTTTTTATTTTCTTCGTATAAATTTTTTTCTACGGCCAGATGATTTGTATACATTGGCGTGAATCCGTTTATACGCGCAACATCCGGTTGAACAGATATGGCGAATTAAAATAAACAAAAAAAAATTCAAACATTTTGTCCAAATTCGGGTTATTAAGCAATCTACTTGAAATTTTGCTGTAAGATATACGCAGAACTATGACCATTGATATGAACCGTTGGCGGCACCTTCAGCGCACACTCGACCGGCTTCTTTCCAACAAACCGGGGCGGTTGTGAGGAAGCCGGAAAAAAAGAATATCAAAGTATAGTGACAAGGTAATCTGCGCGCTGTGCATTTATGGGAGATTAATGGGCTACCAATCAGGGAAAATCGTCCCACGGGAGCCCTTTGCGGTCTTGACAAATTGACGTGCAATACGCCAAAGGTTAAGTGTTCAACGACCGGAATTTGTGTTGAAAGAACGCGGGATAATATAGGCAAACGCAGTCAGATAAGCGTGTATATGTGGATTTTTTATAACCATAATTTGATTTTTCTCAATAATGAAGCCTTTTTCTAAACTGTTTGAACAACGGATTACCGGCGCCCGCCCCATGTGGCGCGTTATATCATAAACCGATGATCATAATAATTTTTTGGTTTTATTTAGCTTTATTTTCGTGCGAGATTATGTTTTTTATTTGATTATTACATTTTTTTATACATTTTTATTTTATTGAAAGAAGAGCGTTGACCTTGTTACAAACTCTTAAAATAAATTTTTTTCTTTTATCAGACATGGGCATTCGGATAATCTAAATGCTCGCAAAAGTGCTCGGTTAATATGGGAAAAATCGAAAAGTATTGGAGCGGAATTTTATCCCGGAACTAAGGAAATGTGTGAAGCAATTTGTATTTTTTTTCTGCTTCCGATAATCGGCATGCGTTAACGTTAATGATGCATCTGGTGTTGTTCATAAAAACGATGGCCGCACAGCTGTGACCGTTCGCTAATGCGCTTCCAATTTCCTGGCATTATCAGCAAGAAAATTTTGCATACCAAATACCGAAAAAATTCATGAATAATTGAAATAAAAATTAGAAATTAATTTATGCACCCGTGTATTATGTTGACAGATCGCGTGGAAGTGGACGGTGCAGTGGCGCGGCGACGACGTGAGCTGCCGGTGCGTGTCGTTCTTGCGCGTGCTGGGACTCTACCTGTCGGCGTTGCTGCTCATCTGCATCAGCGTGGACCGCTTCCTGGCCATCTGGGATCCGCTGTCGAGCGTGCGGCAGGCCGGGCAGCGCACGCGCACCATGATCCTGCTGGCCTGGATGTTCAGTGTGGCCTGCGCGGCACCGCAGGCCGTCATCTGGCACGTGATGCAGCATCCGCTGATCCCCTGGTACCACCAGTGCGTCACCTTTGGGTCTTTTCCCGCGCCGGACGTGGAGTTGTTCTACGGACTGGGGATTATGCTGCTCACCTATGGGCTGCCGTTGGTGGTCATCTCCGCGTGTTACCTGGGCATCTGGATCAAGATCATCCAGAGCTCGTTACAACAAGGTACGTATATCGTGCCGGTTTTTGGTAAAAGGGCGGCAAAATGGGGTACCAAGTACCTCGCGGTACTTGTTCGCTCTCTGACTCGTGGTCACATTTAGCCTTCGATGGAGTTAACCACCGATTTCACCCTGTATACACAAACAAGGTGATTCTCCGACAGTGAGCACCGGCATTAGTTGCTCATGACATGGGGATCTTGCACCCTCCCTGGTATGAAGCGTATCATAATATACTGGCAGTGATCGAGGGACTTTGTACCCGCGAAAAAAGGGGGTCTCTCTGAAAGTATACACCGGCATCAGCTGCTCACGATACGGGTCTCATATTCTTTATGGGATGAAAGCATGCTACGGATAGGGCGGCTGTGAGAGCGCCTACGGCCTTGGGCAGATGGTGGTGACAGATTTATTTATGTCGAAATGAAGACAAAATGACGTATAGATGCAGACAGCAAGTTTATACAGCATGGGTGCTGTATTTGATTTATCGTTAAATTCCCGTTTGCCGAAAGAAAGCCGTCATTTGTTATAAGAAAACGACCGTTTCCAAATCTGATGGTCGCAAAATGACGTACAAGCCTTTGCACAATTTAGGAATTTATTCTGTTTCTTTCGAACCGCCAGACTAATAATGATCGAAAATTTATGGCGCAGCCGAAGCAAGCTGTAGTCCCTGAGCAAAACTGGTTTTTTAATCTTGATTTAGAAAATCGATTTTTACGTCACATGCAAACGTTTTTTTTTGAATCACGGATTTGCGCTTCAAGTGATAACACATACATAGCGACAAGGAAAATTAATATCGTCCTAATTGAATATATTTTTTTATTTTAAATTTATTAAAATAAAAATTTCAGAATGAATGTAGGTATATGCAAAAGTTTATTAATTTTGTGCGTTCTCCCATAAAGTATGTTGCCTGAAAAACATGATCATTATGACGCAACCCTTACGCCGGACGCTGACTGAGGTCATCCGCCGGCCTGTTGCCCTGTTTGTTAGGAAATACGCAAAATCCGGTGGGAAATCAGAAAGTGTGCCCCATCATTTCCCGGCCCCGGCCCGACCGCTCTAGCTTTCCTCGCCCAATTTGGCTCCATCTCCAAGCAATCAGTTTGGCGGTCGGCCACTGCGTCAGCCACACAAATTGACACAATTTATTTACACACTACCGGAATGTTTCCCGGCGCGCGCCCGCATCCGGAAAGCAAATAAACACAGAGCGTATTAGCAGTCAGGTGGTTGCGCAAGACCGCGATCGATCCACGCCGCGACAACAGCGCTAATGTCTTCTCCGGATGCGGCCATAAACAAATCGTCAAGAGCTGGTGTGTACTTGGAAGTATACAGACAAAAATGGCCCGTGACCGTTCAGCGCCATAAATCGGCGCGGCAATTGCCGCTATTGTGCGGTTGCGTGTATCTGTGCGCTGCGCAACGCTAGGTCCTGCGCATTGATTTATTCCCATCCGCCAGTCAAGGGGGCGGAGCCAGCTGTCGGCGCACAAAAGCGGGCGCCCGTGATTTGTGTACACTTCTCATTCCAGCTGTATATGTTTTTTCTCCGCATTAATTATCCGGCGCCGAGGCACTTTTATTGCTGTGTTGTCAAGATACATCAGTAAAGGGTTGTGTATCTTGCAGATTTGGGCACGCTGCCCGACCCCAACGACCGGCGTCTGAGTGTGCCCAGTGCGGCGGCGCTGCGCACCAGCAACGCCGATCGATTGGTGAAAGCCAAGAAGCGCACACTGCGGATGACGGGTAAGTGTGGTATAGTATAGTGAAGAGGAAGACGCGGCTCATTGCCGAGTGGACCTACTGTGACCATTTCCGGCGTGCAACATCATCGCCTAATTAATTGTCCGCAACAACAATCGGAAATCACTCGGTTTGCTCAGCGTAGAGAAGCGGGATTGTATAGATTTATATGTATGCAAATCCCGGCCAATCGATACGCGGGCTAATGCTTTCCTTCCGCTTCCCATTGCAGTCTTCATCGTCGGCATCTTTATCCTCTGCTGGTCGCCCTACCAGATCATGTCCATGTGGTACTTCTTTGACAGGTTCGTATTTAAAAAAAGCTAGTATATATTTAACGCTCCCGTTTCGTTTATTACGATTTTTTTAACGAAACGCTGTACTGATGCGCTGTGAAACTATTACGACGAAAATCACAGTACAACGACAGTAGATGCGTAATACACGATTAACCTTTTGGCTTCCTACTCGCGATAAGAGATTATCGCAAGCTAAAAACGCTTTTGTGTATTTTACGTCAGTAATGCAACTAATAAATAAGTAGTGAATAAAATTATAAAACCTGGTATGAAGAAATCTTGCTTCAGAAAGGGAAACCGCTTCAAAACAAATTGACTGTTCCATGCTCATTCATACGTACAGATACACGATACACTGCATACATATCAAAACTAATTCAAAAAATGGAAGATGACATAAATTGAACAAAAGCTTTCTTTAAAAATTTTAATTAACAGATGCTAAACCGGATGGCCATAAAAGCAGTCTTGACTGTTTTCCATAATTATGATACTTCTAAAGCATGTATCTTAAAATTTTTAACTTATCTGTCTGCTCGTATAATTATACTTTAACGATAAAGTGCATGTACCTATATATTCAACTGCGTAGCAGGTATGCGTACATACTGTATCTTCGTAAAATTTGAATAATATTATGTTAACAAAGGACCTCGCAAGTCCAGTATAACTGCAGCCTGCAAGTACGCTTCTTCAGAATTTTTGCCAAGGAAAAAATCTGGCTAATATACCTAATGAATCTGGCTAATATAATACCAGGCACCAGTTACCACGGTAGAAACGTATGGGAATCGTAACCCGATTCCGCGTACATTGCCTTATTTTGACGTATTTCTCATAAGAAACCTTTTGGCTAGAAGTATAAGATTTCCTTAGAAGTATAGGAAGTAACAGATTCTGTATAGTACGTGTAATAAAAGTAGCAACTGCATTCAAACATTTTTTCATCCAACACCATTAATTCTAACCGCATTATTTCTCCTGAACTTCATTTCGCAATAAACTATTTTAATTTCCACCTGGGCAGTTGGAGGAACTATTTTTGATATGGAGTACCAAACATATCACTGTATCATTTATATGTACAATTGTATACAGCGAGAATTGTCGCCGATGCGCTTTCAGTCCAAAAACAGAGCAACTAATTATACAGAACATTTAGATTTCATGTTGATTGTGTAATATTCTTGCAGGAAAAGCGCGGAGACGGTCGACCAGTTAGGCCAGGAGATCCTCTTCATCTTCGGCGTATCCTCCTCTGTCCTAAACCCCTACGTCTACGGCATCTGGTCCATGGGGCTATGGCGCAACCTCAGCGTCCTGGGCGCCCTTCCTGCCTGAAACAGCAGTTCCAGAAAGCGCCCCTGGTGAGGGCCACAGCGGCTACCTCGCGGGCCATCGGGACGGACGCCGACAGGACGGACCCGGAACGCTGTAGCCGCGGAGCCGCGACCGCGCCCTCTCCATCCGGGTGTCCCTGCCCACCAACGGGTCCTACAGCACTACACCCTCACCCAACAGCTCTATAAGCTACACACTAACAGCAGCCGACGCTGGGCGTTCGGGGATATGAGCAACTCCTTCTCGCGCTCGCTGGCGTCGACAGAACGCCTGAACGGCTACGGCGCGGCGCGTCTCCTGTAGTTCTCAGTACAGTTGTTTTTTTTCGTGTACACTTTGACGGTTTTTGCATTCCGGATATTTTCACAATATGGAATTTCCGTACACGTTTCTTTCGTTGTTCTACATTAGAAGACTGTTATTAGTTAGTCTTGTGTGCAACCTTGTGTAAAAATAGTGATTGTTACGTGATCAATTTTTAAAAAATGTTTTGTCATGTGGAACAACCGTGTCTTTACGCGAATCCATATTGTGGAACTGTCGGAATGCGACAACCGTCAAAGTATTCCTTTATAACACATTCTTCGGTGTGATGGCGCAAACGCTCAATTATGATCTTTTTGTTAGCAGGTCGATGTATTTTAATTTCTCCGGTAATTGTGTACCGGGCATAACACATAACTAATCATAGTGGGATAATTCGGTTCGCAGTAAAAATGAACTGGTAATAGAAGGATCATGACGTCGATGAGAGATGCAACGTGTCATCATTAGAATAATTGCGATGAAAAGAAGGTACACCTGATGCAGTATGTATTATTGGGCGACGACCTTTTTGGGAGGTAATCAGAGAGCGCCGGCCACCGTCAACGCCGCCCCCTCGTGAGCGCATGTATCGGTGTAGCGCAACTCTGCATCAGCAGGGCTTTTCTCTGCCGGTGTATATTGCATGTCTATTTGATCAGCCGTCTTAACCGCTCCAGGATTAGCCGGCTCATGTATACTTCCGACGACAAAACTGAGTTAACGGTTAAGGATTTTCCGGCTTTTTAATTAACAGATGCTAAACCGGATGGCCATAAAAGCAGTCTTGACTGTTTTCCATAATTATGATACTTCTAAAGCATGTATCTTAAAATTTTTAACTTATCTGTCTGCTCGTATAATTATACTTTAACGATAAAGTGCATGTACCTATATATTCAACTGCGTAGCAGGTATGCGTACATACTGTATCTTCGTAAAATTTGAATAATATTATGTTAACAAAGGACCTCGCAAGTCCAGTATAACTGCAGCCTGCAAGTACGCTTCTTCAGAATTTTTGCCAAGGAAAAAATCTGGCTAATATACCTAATGAATCTGGCTAATATAATACCAGGCACCAGTTACCACGGTAGAAACGTATGGGAATCGTAACCCGATTCCGCGTACATTGCCTTATTTTGACGTATTTCTCATAAGAAACCTTTTGGCTAGAAGTATAAGATTTCCTTAGAAGTATAGGAAGTAACAGATTCTGTATAGTACGTGTAATAAAAGTAGCAACTGCATTCAAACATTTTTTCATCCAACACCATTAATTCTAACCGCATTATTTCTCCTGAACTTCATTTCGCAATAAACTATTTTAATTTCCACCTGGGCAGTTGGAGCGAACTATTTTTGATATGGAGTACCAAACATATCACTGTATCATTTATATGTACAATTGTATACAGCGAGAATTGTCGCCGATGCGCTTTCAGTCCAAAAACAGAGCAACTAATTATACAGAACATTTAGATTTCATGTTGATTGTGTAATATTCTTGCAGGAAAAGCGCGGAGACGGTCGACCAGTTAGGCCAGGAGATCCTCTTCATCTTCGGCGTATCCTCCTCTGTCCTAAACCCCTACGTCTACGGCATCTGGTCCATGGGGCTATGGCGCAACCTCAGCGTCCTGGGCGCCCTTCCCTGCCTGAAACAGCAGTTCCAGAAAGCGCCCCCTGGTGGGGAGGGCCACAGCGGCTACCTCTCGCGGGCCATCGGGACGGACGCCGACGGGACGGACCCGGAACGCTGTAGCCGCGGGAGCCGCGACCGCGCCCTCTCCATCCGGGTGTCCCTGCCCACCAACGGGTCCCTACAGCACTACACCCTCACACCCAACAGCTCTATAAGCTACACACCTAACAGCAGCCGACGCTGGGCGTTCGGGGATATGAGCAACTCCTTCTCGCGCTCGCTGGCGTCGACAGAACGCCTGAACGGCTACGGCGCGGCGCGTCTCCTGTAGTTCTCAGTACAGTTGTTTTTTTTCGTGTACACTTTGACGGTTTTTTTGCATTCCGGATATTTTCACAATATGGAATTTCCGTACACGTTTCTTTCGTTGTTCTACATTAGAAGACTGTTATTAGTTAGTCTTGTGTGCAACCTTGTGTAAAAATAGTGATTGTTACGTGATCAATTTTTAAAAAATGTTTTGTCATGTGGAACAACCGTGTCTTTACGCGAATCCATATTGTGGAACTGTCCGGAATGCGACAACCGTCAAAGTATTCCGCTTTATAACACATTCTTCGGTGTGATGGCGCAAACGCTCAATTATGATCTTTTTGTTAGCAGGTCGATGTATTTTAATTTCTCCGGTAATTGTGTACCGGGCATAACACATAACTAATCATAGTGGGATAATTCGGTTCGCAGTAAAAATGAACTGGTAATAGAAGGATCATGACGTCGATGAGAGATGCAACGTGTCATCATTAGAATAATTGCGATGAAAAGAAGGTACACCTGATGCAGTATGTATTATTGGGCGACGACCTTTTTGGGAGGTAATCAGAGAGCGCCGGCCACCGTCAACGCCGCCCCCTCGTGAGCGCATGTATCGGTGTAGCGCAACTCTGCATCAGCAGGGCTTTTCTCTGCCGGTGTATATTGCATGTCTATTTGATCAGCCGTCTTAACCGCTCCAGGATTAGCCGGCTCATGTATACTTCCGACGACAAAACTGAGTTAACGGTTAAGCCGATTTTCCGGCTATAGCCGATCGCGCAGTTGAATAAACCTGAGAGTGTTAACAGGCTGGGTAATTTCTCCTATCACTCAACGCTGAAAAGAATTACCGCTGCCCAAAACAACAATTTACAGTATTTCTCTCGAAAACCTCTAAATATTTAAATGCAAATCTTTTATACCTAAATTTCCGGAAATTATAACGAAAATCAAAGAACTTCTGCCGCTTGAATTTGTTGCAATCGTTCGGCGTAGCAAGAATAAACTACGAGAAAATATTTCAAGTTGTAAATGCATGGTTGGAAGCCAGAGTGACGCAAAACCACCTGATATGTCCGCGACAGACACGTAAAATAATGCGGTGTATTAACCCTTTTGTTAATCAAAGGCAAAATAATTCTAGTTGTAAATTAAGTAAAAGGCTTGCGGCAATTCTAGATCTGTAATTATCGCCATGATAAAACACTCCTGCACTAAGCGCCACGAACTTAGAAAGCAGCATCCAATGAAAGGAAAACTCGCGAAAGAGCAAAATGTAATCTACGTAATATATTACGTAATAATTATATTAATTACGTAATAATTACGTAATAATAATAATAATAATAATAATAATAATAATAATAATTACGTAATAATAGTAATATATTACGTAATAATCTACGTAATAATTAAGTATATACTTAATTAGAGCCAGATAAATGATCGGGCGGTGATCTGACGGTGCACCTTAACCGATTTTCGCCGTACATTCTACCTAGTACGTAGTACGTACAGTCGTACACCCTTCCCGGCGCTCGGCTGCCGGTATGCTCGTCATAATCCCGCCGCTAATCCGGCCCCGTCATCTATCCCATCCCGACATATCTTCCCGTTGAATGCAACGCGGTCAGTTATATTCAATCTGTATGCCGGCACGATTCCCAGTTGCCTCTTTTCTAAACCACTCTTTTGCCGCGGCGTCCCACATTTCCCATCCACTTCAACAAAAAACACAATTTCGTCAAGAAGGCCGCGTGCGCTGCTCATATGATTAATTCCCTAACCGGGGATTATCCATCGGTCGTTGGCAATTTGTCCGCTTTTCTTCCCGTATATTCCCGCGTCGAGGATGCGCGACAGTTATCTCAATTCATCATCCAGCGATAACCTTTAATCCGCAATTTATATTTGCATTGCGTTGAACGAGAGCGATGGTTCACTGACATTTTACCGGGAGTCTGGGACTTTTTTATCATGGAGAATACGACGGTGGGCAATGTCAGCCTGCTGCTGCCGCTGGAGATGCAGTTCACCGTGGTCAACGTGGTGGTCATCGGGATCTACGCCAATCTGCTGTGGATCTCGCTGGTCGGCAATCTGCTGGTGCTGGTCAACCTGGCGCAGAGGAAGAAGAAAGGCCGGGTGCATGTGCTGCTCATGCATCTGTGTGTGGCCGATACGATCACCACGCTGGTGGAGATGCCCTTAAAGGTATACCCTATGCATACTAATCATACCGGCATGGTAATTACACTAACAAAAAAAGGTTATTACAATGCTTCGATTAGAAATGCTTTTTCACAAATTTTTATTTTAAATTTAGAATCATCCTAAATACTTTCTATTAATTTATCTGGCAAAAACTTAGATACTTTGATACTTGGCAAAATTCTCACCGGTAATCCAGAACCAGTTTAATTTCTGTAACTGTGTTGTTGGTAAATATTCTAAACACAAGTAATTTAAAAGTTTTCAGAATATATTATGCAGGCTTGTATATGTAGTTACGTGGCGTTTGACTAAAAACATTCGGGATACGTATAAACTGCTGACTTCCGCCAGGTCTCGTTGCTCAAGTAGCCGCGCGCTTGAGCGGCTGATAATGAGGCTCAGTATTTCTCACCATAAGTACTCAATACTCACTGTCCGTAAACTGTACAGCTAAAGCGTATATGCTCCGAAAATATTGAAATAATGCATAACGGCAATTTTGCATTGGTTTCTCAGGTATCTTATGTTTTGTAAAAACATATAAGAAAGTTTTTGTCTGTAAGCGGCCGTCAATAATTCGACAGCAAAAATGTTTGTCTGCACTGCCGTGAAAAGACGCTCCTGATTATGCAGTATTATTGTGCGTATATTCATCTTTATTTTGGCCGGTTATTTACCGAGAAAATCAGGTGCAGATGTGTATTGATCGGCGTCTGAGTAAAGAGACGAGTTTCTAATGAAGGTCCCTGTTGCGGCTGATTATCGTCAATCTATATGCATAGGCGGCAGTTGGTCTTCCGCACCACCGCACACTGCCCACCACCCGCACACCCTGATGACAGTTTCGCGAGAATGAAATAAAAAACCTCCGTCAGCTGTGCGGCATTAAACCGGCACCAGCTGCTTATAGGCGTCCAACACAAAATGGGCGCGAACAATGCCGGTGTCAGATTGCTTGTTTGGCGTCTCATTGGGCTTGAATGCATTTGGTTAATACAGGGCTATAGTTTGGTCGGGCTGGCGGGCAGCGGGAATTAGCCTTGTTACCGGAAGTATGTGCCGGATGCGTTTGTGTGCAGGGTATAACGTGACCGTGCCGGTATTTCGGGTTAATTGCATTATGTCATATTCGATTAATTTTTGTAAACAGTATTACGCTTCAATTAAACACCATTAGGGCGCTGCCGATAGGATCGATTTATGGATCCGGTTGCGCATGTTCATGGATGACAATAATATTGCCTAATCCAGGTTAAGTATTATATTTCCGACCTGTTTCCGCTTTTCCAATAAAGCCCGGCGTCGGCTGACCGTATCTCAAAATAATAAATCGAGGCATCCAAAAGCAGCGCTAATCATTCGCTCAAAAACGAACATATGGTGTTAATTATTTATCGTGCGAAATTTTGTTTTCTTAGCACTCGTACAGAATTTAGGACAATGTTTCCTTTCAGCGGTATAAAATTCCAAAAAGCGTGGTTTTCAGCTTCTGTATCCATACAAAGCGTAAGCACGTGACGCACAAAACGGTGTTCTGAGCAAAGACTGAGAAGCGCCGGTTTATTTTGTGGCCAAATTGGAAGCCGGCTTTAATAATAATATTACGGTCAGTCCGTAGACTGGTTTTCCGTTCAAACGAAAAATATGATGTTCTAAATTAAGTTTAGAACAATAACAGAAGTATCTTTAGTTAAATGTCTACTTAAACATCACGCTTTTTTTGTATGGTGTGCATGCTGACTAATCTCGCTGTTTGTCGAACGCATGATACCTAATTTCCCGGCATCGCGAGTTTCTACGGCTTCTCCGGTTTCTCTGGACCGGTGTCGTTCACGCTGCAACGCTAATCTCCCCGCGATCAGGCTAAAGCCGGATTGCACCGGAATTAAGCTGTATAATCTCCCGGATCGTTTTCTCCGTAGTACAGAGACACTTGCGCATCTTCCGCCTTCTTATCTAGGCGGACATTTTCCCAGAAAAACGACAATCTTCGTTTTTGCCGGACTTTTAAACGGGCAGATTCAGCTTTTTTTCTATCTAGTTTCGAACGCATCCGCATAAGCAAAAGGTTACTTTTATTCTGGGAATAACGAAGCGAAACTGGGATATCCGGTGGAAAGTTCAAGGACGCCGCGTTCACCTTCCGGTCATATTGCGATCGGTTTCTTAAACGCACGTGCTGGGTGGTGGATTGCGCGCACGTGCGAAGCGGTAATTACCGGGAGTTGTTTGTCGGTTTAAGGCCCCGCCCCTCGGGTCACCTACCCTCCCTGCCAGCGTGGCCGACCATAGTGGGCAAAATCCGGGGGTGAGCGAGCGTCAGCGACGGGTATTGTCCGAATTGGCCGGTGTTGACGCGCGCTGCCATCTGGCGGGTCGACACAACCGGCTACAATTAGACGTCAATTAGCCGGGGAAGAGTCGACGGTGTAATAGTAGCTGATGGGGTTATTTGTCCAGTCCGGGGTATCCGGTGCATTCAGCAGCGACTGACGTCGGTGTCTGGAGGTGATTAGGATAATTCCACAGTGCGCGGTAATTTTTTACGGTCAACAGCGTGTTTTCGTCATCCTGGCCGCATTTATTATTGACGTTAAAGTCGAGCAAACTGGAGAAAAGTACAAGTATTATCAAGGGCTTGGCCGTTACATGCGAGTACTGCCTTACCTTTTTGACTTTTCAAAACTGAACTCTTTCTTTACGTTGCGCTGAAGGAAGGTTCATTGAAATTTTGCTTATAAAAACAGGCCGACAGATTCGCCTTTTAAGATGTTCTATCTAGAAAAGCAACCTTCAGAGTATCTTTAAGGTACTCAATTTTTACAGAGATACAGAGATGTTTCCGCGTTGCTCCACGTGATAAAAACGTTTCTAAAATTGAGTGTTATAATTATTGTCGTTTTACCAGCTTATATACATCCTAAAAGCGTATTAATAGAAACTGATTAATAACAAGTCCTTTAAAATAAAAATGAACAGGGAATTTCGGGTCTGTGATGTCCGGAATGCAACGTATATTTTATAAGTGTCCGCAATGCGAAAAACACAAAAATGCGAAACACAAAATGAATGTAACTTTTAACGCAGTCGCGCAAACTGCGAGCTAAAACAAAATACTTTGGTAAATTAGATAATACTTTTAAGGTGCGTGTCCAAAGGTCTTGTTATCATAATGTAACCACTGTAGCATTCCTGGAATCATGGAGATATATCCTTCAGCATACAGGAAAACCTTTCTTTAAAACTGCATGCTGTTTTCTGGTTTAGGTTTACATTTAATATGAGATAACAATTACAGTATGTATTGATCCATATCAATCCCTCGTAGATCTGCTGGAAGTTGAGCGTGCGCTGGCTGGCCGACGACATCACGTGCCGCGGCGTATCCTTCCTGCGCGTCTTCGGCCTGTACCTCAGTGCGCTGCTCCTAGTGGCTATCAGCGTGGACCGTTTCCTGGCCATCTGGACGCCGTTGGCCTCCCACCGACAGGGTAGTCGGCGCGTCCGCTCCATGGTGTGTCTGGCCTGGACGGGCCCCGCAGGCAGTCATCTGGCACGTGGCCGAACATCCGCTCTTCCCCTGGTACCGGCAGTGCGTCACCTTCGGCGCCTTCAGCTCACCAGCTGCTGAACTGGCCTACGGGGTGTTTTTACTGACGCTGACGTATGGGCTCCCGTTGATTGTGATCCTCGTCTGCTATATGGGGATTTGGTGGCGCATGTCCACGTCGGCGTTACCGGAAGGTTAGTAAAGATACAGTTGTTTAAATTTTAGTCATCAAGTAGCGATCGACGCTTCCAAGTATTGTTAGTACGCGTACGCCGGTGGCTCCTGCCTACAAAACATAACAACTTCAGAGAAACTTTCAGAGAAAGCGGCTAATTTCTGCTACAGCTTTTCTCAGCAGAAGATCGCTTATTTTTATTGAATAATTAACCACCACCGTGTTCCAGTTTTTTTAAAGTGCACACTTTTTAAAAACAATTGTTTACACCGCCCTTACTGTGCATCCAATACGTGCCTTTGCAACTGACTCAAAAAATTAGCAGAAAGATGTTAGGTGAAACCGTGAAAGTAGTGCTGTTGCAACAGCACTACTTTCACTTGCATCACACAGATACTTGCATCACACCCCATGGGGTGTGATTCGCACTTTTGTATATATAACAATTTTGCGCCTCCAGGAACTTAATACCCGGGTGATTCTTTGTCCATTCGGGGAGATGTACAGTGATCAGTTGTTGAGAAACGTCAAAGTATGTATCAACTAAACTGCACCCTGTAGAGATGCAAACTTAACAGCTGAAAGTTACGTGCAAATAATTTTTCGTAACGGAATGATGCACCCGAGCTCTAATATGCGCAAATGGTTTAGGGCGTTGCTGAGTCAGCCGGCAAACTGAAATGGGCAAGTATCAAAGAAGAATACAATGCATACATTATGTATCCGTATTTTAATAATTATAATTTTGCTCAAGAATACACAGCATAGATTACAAGCTCAAATCTGCGTTAACCGATACAGGATGCTGACTGTAATTCAAATACGGGTATAGTAATCATTAATCAAATAACTCTGACGTCGGTCAAGTCATGCATAGTCCGTATCCACTGTTAAGCGCATCAAACCGTTATGTATTTATTCACGCGGTCGGGACGTGAGAAGTGTAATGGAAATTTCATGGATGATGATAACCTAATAAGATGCATTTGTCAACAGAGCCGTCCACCACGAAACTGAGACGGAACAGCACCCACAGTCTGACCTTGTCGCTGCGCACCAACAATTCCGACCGGCTCGTTAAGGCCAAACACAAGACACTCCGGATGACTGGTACGTGAAAAACTCAAGCATCAACAAGTGCGAGTAAAAAATGTCAACATCAGAATGCCGACGTATAATTAATTGATCGGGTGTTGCAGTGATGATTGTGGGGATCTTTATACTGTGCTGGTCGCCGTACCAAATCATGTCCATGTGGTATTTTATTGACAGGTAAGACAGATGTGTCGTGTCTATAAAATCCAAACAATCATTTAACGAGTCCTGATTATCGGTTACTTCGACGCTGTTTCCATTAGAAGTGCTTTCCCTAGATACGTTTTTGCATGATTTTACAGTACTTCAAAAAGCACTTATCTGCATAAGCAGCCCCTCTAATGCGATACTTAAACTGCGACAGCTAACAGAAATCAATAGTTTTGTTCTAAATTTTCATTGAACCTAATCTGACCCTATACGTATGTGAAACGTGTACTGAAATAAACTTTCTCAGCAGTTATCAGTATTTATTTATGTATTTGCTTACAAAAAAATTATTTTTGCTTTGGGCCGAATTTGTGCGGCCGATGCTTGTCTAGAAAGGTCATAATAATTATTACGAATATCGAAAAGCAATGAAATACGTACTCGTAGTGAATATTAGAAGCTCGGTTTTTTGTTGTCTTTTCACGACAGTTGTTATGTTGCAGAGCGAGTGCACAGGACTTCAACCAGCTGTGCCAGGAGATCCTCTTCATCTTCGGCGTAACCACCTCTGTGGTGAATCCGTACGTTTACGGCATCTGGTCCATGGGACTGTGGCGGAAACTGGCCGTGGTGAAAGCACTGAACCGCTGCTTCCGGGAGAAATCCCTGGCGCCCAGCCCGGAACAGACCTCCACCGACCGGGATTCTTTGGCCAACAGCGGTCGCGTGCATATGCCCATCGGTCGCTTCGGGCAACGGGGCAGCCACCACTGGCGAGCCAACAGCAACCGACGCTGGGCTTTCGGCGAGCTGAGCAATTCCTTTTCTAAGTCATTCGAGAAGATCAATGCTGTTAACGTTTCTCCCTGATCTTTCTTATACTTGTACATATTATAATAGGGAAGCCTATGTACTGTATTTATTGGTTCTACTGGAGATTCTTAATTTTCACCTTTTCTGCTTAAGAAGTTCAGCTTAGAAGGTTCGGCTACTCTTCCTTAACGCGTGCGAGCTGAGATCGATTTTTTACTCGCATTTCTTAATTTGCTCGACGTTGTCAGCTGTATTGTACCCATGCTGATTGAAGCGTTAATAATTACTGATCCACTACGATTCAGTTCCGTGTTTCAGTGACACTGCTTTTATTGGTCAAATCTGCTTTTATTGGTCAAATCGAACTGCTTTTATTGGTCAAATCGGACTGAAATTACAGAGGGAAAAATGCTTCAGTGGAAATGGAAATCCCAGAAACCGGGATGGAAATCCCAGAAACAGCGAATAGCTACTCAGGAGGGCGGAGCGTCCCGCCCTAACAATAGTGAGACTCATAAAATCTAATGCAGAGGCAGAGAATGACATGCACTCAGTCATGCAGTATCACTCAAACCTTTTTGACCGCTGTACGAACGCAATGCCTCGGTGGCAGTCCGATCCCACTTGTATTCTCAGGCAACAGATTGTGTCATCTTTGGCTCTAAATGCTTTTTTTACCTCTCTGCACTCTTCAGTAATCATCCGGACCCGAAAGAAAAACACCACGCAATTAGCTAATAACTTTAATATCTGTTTTGTACTCTGTACAGATACAACATTGTGCCGCAGTTGTATCTACGTTTTGACCACAACATCCTTTATTTTCTAAAACAACGCCACAGTTTTCCTATAGTAAGGACCATTGTGTTAGTGCCTACTGAAACAAATCTAGCCGACATTATTATCCGACATTACAACGGATGGCCACATGTTGAACTTCCGTTTACTGAGGGTTGGTTCTTCACCGCGCCACGACGCTAACCAGGTTTTGTTGGCGGTCTAAGACTCTAAAATCTAAATTACTATTTACGTACAAATAATCGAGATGTTATAAATATGATTGAGGAAGAAGACTGAACTCTCAGGACGAAAGGCTGTGAGGGAATGTGAGTCGAAACTCGAAAGGTAACAACTAACAATGATCGATCGAACGGCAGGACGTCCATGCCTCCATGGTCAGCAGTTTTTAGAGGTTGGAAAAGAGCTGATCACGAACTGATCCCCGTCCAATTTCACAGTCTCGCATCACACCGTTAAAAAGTAAAAACACACCACGCTGGCCAGCCGTGACTCATCGGCTTTACCACATAAAGCTCAGCTCGCTACCCCCGGCAGGCTTACCTTACCGCCCAGTCTAATGGGCTTATCCAACACAGAAACCCTCCACTTGCTGGCTGCAAAAGCGCAGATCCTGTTTAAGCACGAAACATTGAGAGATTTGATTTGTTTGACAGCTACTTCGAGTATACGTGGACAACGTGTCAATTTTTCTGGCTTCGAAGAATTGCCACAGGAACCCCTTTTTCTGTCGGGCTTGATATCAGTAAGTTCAGAATAACTGTTAAGCACACGGTTTCGATGTCGTTGTTATTTGACATGTGCATTTGATGGGCCCCCGATTTTGTAGAGGCTTCCCCGCTCCGTTGGAGAATGGCAGCCAAGAGGACTGCTGAACAAGCCGGCCAGCCCGATCATCCTTCTCAGAAAGATGAAAGCGCGATATATATTGGGTCGGACATCGTGGATTTGCGTCGAGAATGGCAAAATCTGCGCGCCTCACGAATGCTGTGCGATGTGGAGCTGCGTGGTTGTGAAGCTGATTCTGCTGGGATTCCGTGTCATCGCAGCGTTCTCAGTGTGCGCAGTGCGTATTTTCGCACCATGTTTCTGTCGGGAATGAAAGAATCAACGCAGCAAGTTATTCAACTGCAAAACATTTCACAGTGTTCTCTCTGGGTGAGTCTTTGCTTTCGCAAGCCCAGTGTGTTGCGAATTGCTCGTAGTTTTTATTATAATGGCTCCTTCTCTACTTAGCGTACTAGTACCATACTACGGAAAATGATTGCGTACATTTCGTGAGCGCAGAATGTTTTCGCGAGTTGTGGACTTGTGGTCACCAGTTATTGGTATAATTTCCCTAATTTAATTTCGCAGGTTAGTAGACTACTGCTACATGGCGGATCTGCGCGTCACCGAAAGCAACGTACAGTCAATGCTGATTGCTGCTGCGTTTCTGGACATTGCCACCGTCGTGGATGCCTGCTGGAAATTCATGGACGATCACATAGACGTCAGTAACTGTCTGATGCTGTATTGTTTCGCGGATTCCGATGCACACAAAAATCCGACGCTAGCCAACAAAGCCAAGACTTTGGTCCTCAAACATTTTGTTAGTATCTCGAAAGGACAAGAATTCCTGCAAGTGGCGAAGAATACGGTAAGCAATAGACAACCGTGTTGACTAATCAACTGTTCAAATCTTTACGATTTTTACTTTTTTATGGTGTTTTGATGGCATACAGTTAATCGGCAGTTATAGCACGAACAGGAGCAGATCGTTGCATACGACTGGATCGTAAATTGCTGCAGAAATTGGCCATAATTCGTAACATAACGGCACTTGGCAGTTTTGGTTCTGAATAGGTTTTGGACCTAATTCGCTCCGACGACTTGTGGGCAACACGCGAGGAGGATGTGCTGCTGGCCGTTATGCGGTGGCTGCATCACGACCTGGAGCAGCGACGCGGGGAATTTTGGGAGATATTGCAGAACATTCGGCTGTCGTATCTGGGTCCGCAGGGCCTGGATGATTACCTGGTGGCCTGCATTAACGCCGTCACGGATTATTCCGGCGGAAACAAAGCTATGCGCCAGGCAGAATACTTGAAGACGCTGCCGGGATCTGACAGCCACGTGATCACCTCTCGTCGCACTCCACGAAAAGCCTTTCGTAAGTTTGTTGTCGTGTGTACTCCGAATACCTGGCCGGCTGGCCCGCGCTCTAGGGCTGAGTCTGACTGTGAGCCCTGACTATTAAAAGTCTGAGTCTGACTATACAAATTCGCGTCTTGTTGTGCTTTTTATTGCTGTGTTAGGGTTTGCTTAACTTTCTTAGTTATTTAGGTTCTTACTTTTTTAGATTTTTTTAAAATAAACAAATCAAAAATTTCTGCGAAAGCCTCACAAATACCATAAAAAATCTGAGAAAGGTAAAAAGCATAAGAAAGCTCAGAAAACTAAGAAGTTCTGAAGGACTAAAAAATGCTTGGTCAGAGTCAGACGTTTAGTAGTCGTACTACGCGTCAGACTCAACCCTACAGTTCGGGCCCGAGTACCTGAAGCGGTAGTGCTTTTACTGCTTTATCTCAGGTTTCGAAGCGGTTATTATTTGCGCTGGAGGGAACTCATGGAAATCGATGTCGGACCGTGACCGTGTCGACTGTTTTAACCCACACACCTCCAATTGGAGGACGCTAGCCCGGATACCGTTCAGTGTGGCCCTGGTTGGTTTGGCGACCTTCCACGGCGATTTGTTCCTGTGTGGCAACGGTAGTGGGGAGTCTGGGGTTACGCCGCGCACCCTTCGCTATAACCCTGCTGTGGCTGAGTGGAAGGATGTGGCGCCCATGCGCACCGGGCGCGGATGCGCTGGGGTGGCTGCAGTGGGTCGCCATATTTATGCTGTTGGTGGTCATGATAAGAACTTGGCAACTTTGGCCACCGTGGAACGCTATGATGTGCTGATGGATCAGTGGACGTTCGTGGCATCTTTACCCTGGGCTTTGACGAAATCCGCCGTTGTCAGTTTTGAAGGCAAGGTGTTTACCTTTGGAGGTTCTACGGCAGCGGCTCACGGGATCACGGATTCGGCGTTCAGTTACGACCCGAAATCCGATCGGTGGAGTGAGCTACCAAAAATGCCTAGTGCACGAAGCCGCGCTTCCGTGTGTGTCGGACCAGACGGGTGGATTTACGTCATTGGTCAGTTCACTCAGTTGGTTACCAGCTAAGAACGAACCGCTTTTGGGTACCGTAAACAGGCTGTAACGTAGCAATCGAGAACTTGAGAAGAATCGAATCGTCGGTAGCGAATGATCGGTTATCGAATTTTCGAATTATCGGTAAAGTAATATGTTCATTACTTCATGACATTAACGACGTCACATAAGCACGCTGTAGCAGCAGTGATGTTTGCATGCACACAGTACACTGTATAGGGTATACATACGTACATTCTGCAGCAGTAGACTTTTCGTTTTATAGGTGGATTTAGAGAGCGCGCTCTGAGTTGCGTAGAGGCGTATAACCCCAGCACCAAGCAGTGGATCAATAAACGTAAGGGTAGTGAGGTAACTACTGTATTTCATCGCCATCGGGAGTATCTTTTGAAAGTGGCGGCTCATCGTGCCCTGTTTTGCCGCACCTGTAGATGCACTGAGTCGCCCGTCGTATTCCTCTTCAGCCTGCTGTTTCGGCGAAAAAATCTACGTCCTGGGAGGTTATTCTAGGACTTTAGGGAGTCAGAAATTTGTGGAAATCTACGACATCCTGTCGGACACGTGGACGACTAGTGAAAGTCCGTTGCCGGTTGGAAGATGGGGCCTTAGCTGCAGTGTGGCAGATATCCCGAAGGATCACAGCGAGTACCTTGAAATTACAGAATGACGGTTAAGCTAGGTTTTACAGAACTATAGCTCCGTTTGTACTAAATGTGCGTTTTGGTGGAGTTGACAGGTAATGAGAAGTTGTTCACGCCTCCAGGTGTTTCATTGCTTTTTGACCGAATTCTTGCTCTTACGCTCTCTGAAGTCTAACGAGATGCAAATCGTATGTTTTGCAGTTTTTTCTTCGAATAACAGTTAGGGTCAAAGAAATTCGAACAAGTTGGGTGGTGTAAAAGTACGATTTTCTACCCTTCAGCTCATACTGCAGATTATTTATACACAATCATCTCATAGAGCAGACAAATGTTTTTGAATGGTTCCACGGAAAACGCACTGGGAACGTGCACTGCATACCATTAGTTGCATCTTCAGTTCGAAAAGCATCATGACATCCGCCACTAATTACTGTATCGGCATATCCTCATCGGAAATTCTTGTACGGATCTCTGTCGAATGCATGCCCCGCCGGCCAGTAATTGATCCAGTGCACCGTGTGTCCCTCGTACTCCTTAGCGCCAACCGCCTTTATCCCGGCTTGCGAGGCCAAATTAAACTTCATCGTCTCCACCCAGACGTGGATTTCCCCGATATCCCGTAATTTCTTCAGCAGCGCCCGTAGCACCACTTGGTACAGCCCCCGCTTGCGGTAGTCGGGGTGGATGAAGGCGGCGCCCACAACGCCTTCTGTCTTGTAAATGGCGTAGGCGATGGGCGAATCCGAACCAACAGGGAAGAGGGCAGCGCTAGGGTATTCGTTCTCCATCATGTAGCGGAAGAACGCAATGTTGTTAGCCGTGTGACCGTAGTTGCGTTCACGGGCAACTTGCACGGCGTGCTCCGGGTTCAACGTGCCCAGGCGAAGACCTTCCGGCACTTCATATCTACAATATCAGTGGCCATTTTAATTTTGGTTAACCCAATGTTCAGCGACCTTAAAACTGTTCGAACAGTAACATAAATAGCAAGTTCGGAACTCACTGTAAATCCAGGTTTGGTAAATCGAAGTAGTAGCAGTATTCTCCCGTTGGGAAGCCTTCCATCGTAATCAGATGATCGAAAGTACCACCACGAAAGCCTTTACCGCCTTCCAACAGTACCAAATGCTCAGGCTCCGATAAATCTGCACAAAATTTTCGTTATTGCTTAACCATACTCAAACGTAGATTAAGTCAGTGGTTTGTACCGGCAAACATGATATTCTGTGTCCAGTCCAGTGTGTCAGGTTCTTCGAATAACATTTTCCGGAAGACATTGGTGTCTTTGGAGTAGACAAATACCTGATAACCGTTCATCAGGGGAACGAAGGATTTATCGTCTTTGCGGGGCCGAGCGATACAGACGGAGGGATTGGGGAAGTCGTCAACGATGAACTCGATGCCGGGCCAGGCGAAGCGCTGACGGACAACATTGCGCATAACATGATACACCTATATTAAAACACGCAAGCGCATGTTTTGGTTGCAGACTTACAGTAACTGTTAATCTTTACAAAGTAGATGAGTAGAATTAGCAGCGTCTTACCGGAAGACTGCGAGGGAAATCCTTCTCCAGCACTGGTAAAAATTCTGCAAGCTGTTCGTGTGTTAATACTTTCATTGTACAGCTGGTAAAAAAATATATAAGCCACAAATATAAACGCGACTTCAAGGAACATGAATTAAAATTGCTGCAAGAAAGGACCGGCAAGCGAGCATAGTACAAACGGTGTGTTATCTTTGCCTTGGTGGCTGATTAAGTCGTTAATTCAAGTGTAGTCTGTAGTCATTAATCGTTCCCAGCGTCAAATTAGTACAACCACTATTGTGGCTTTCTCCGACCTTTATACCGGCTACTTTCTCACCGCTTCCTGCAATTTTGGCCATGGTAGGAAAGCCATGAAAACGTGGATATTATCCACACTCGTGCAATATCCGCAGCATATTGTATTGTCAACGCTTTACTGTCTGACAGGCACCGCTGATAACAGAATGTGATAGCGCTGCAATTACCGTTGGCATTGCAGTATGATTACATAATATTATACCGTTATAGCGGCATGATTTATCTGTACCTGCAAAGCTGCATAATAATTTGAATTACCGTAACTTAATGCTCCGCACTGGCAAATGCTAATTAAGCTTTTGATTCCCAACCAAAATCGTAATACGAGTCGCTTTGGCAGCAAATCCTAGACTATCCCCGCCCAACATTTGTCCAACACTGTTGCTGCATCAAAGCCAGAATAATGCCAGTCTTAACCCAGGGACAAATGGCGGAAGTTTTGCCGCAGTTGGAGAACGATTTCCCTCGAAGCTTGTCGGTATTGATAGTTACTGCGGAAATTATATACATGAAAGCGTTATTAGAATGTAGACAAGCAATACGCATTAATGCGTTTGCTTCGCAGATATATCATCTGATGCGCAACGTCCTCCGCCAGCGTTTCGCTTGGCCCGGCGTCGAGTTCCTCGTGGACACCTTCCCCAGTCCGTCTGTCTGCATCTGCCGACCACGGAAGAACGACCCGGAATATATCCCCATAATGAACGGCTACCAGGTTTTCGTCTACTCTAAAGACGCCGATGTCTTCCGGCGAATGCTGTTCGACGAGCCGGACACGCTGGACTGGACACAGAATATCGTCTTCGCCGGTACGCGACACAAGCCGCCCAACGCATTTAAAAAAATTTATTGGAAAAATGCTTTTTGTGCAGATCTGCCGGTAGCGGAGCAGTCCATCCTTCTGGGTTCTGGTCGAGGTTTTCATGGCGGTACTTTCCAGCAGATGTCGTCGACTGAAGGCTTCTCGGCCGGACAGTGCAACCACTTCCGTCTCCATTGGCCCAACCTTAATCTAACGTCAGCCTGATTCGTTTTTTTGTGTGATTATTTTTTTGTTTTTCCATAACTTTACGTTCCTTATGGCACATACCAGGATTTTTAAATCCCGTTTATAATGTTAGGTATTCAGTCGTACGATGATTGTAGATTTGAAGCCCCGGATGGTTTCCGTCTGGATACTTTACAACCGGAGCACGCGGACCGAATCGCCCGCGAGCGTAATTACGGTCACTTGGCCAACAACGCCATCTACTTCCGCTACATGCTCGAGAAGGGTTTCCCCAGCGCTGCGCTATTTCCCGCCGGATCGGACACACCCGTCGCGTATTGTCTGTACAAGAGCGAAGGCGTCATTGGCGCGGCCTACACCAATCCCGAATACCGGCGCCGTGGCTTCTTCCGATTGGTGCTGCGAGCGCTACTGCAAAAACTGAAAGAGATGGGCGAAGTCAACGTGTGGCTGGATACGCACAAGTTCAACCCGGCGACGCAGGCGGCCTTCAAAGCCGTGGGCGCCGAAGAGTACGAAGGACATATGGTGGACTGGATGCAATTCTGGCCGGCTGGCTACAGCCAAGTAGCCAGCGAGAAAGTCACTAGGCACTTAGCTAATGTACTACTGTGAATCTTTAGTTATTTTCATTGTGGACACTGGTCAACTAGTCACTGCACTATTACCAGTCGACGTATGTTTTGGAATCGGCATGCCTGTTCTTAGCCAGTTGGTTTTAATAAGATGAACAGCACTTACTGTAGACGCTAGATGAAACGGCACCACTGTTAGATTCGGCCGCTGTCTGCCCCCTGCCGGACAGCCCACTGGTCCGGCTACTGGCGATCGGGCTTCTTACGGTTGGTGTTGCAGGGCCTGTTGCAAACCCCGACGAATTTAGGCGAGGATAATGTGTGGCCGGATACGCACAAGTTAAAAAATGGGATGTAGGCGGACGCAACACCAAAGAGTACGCACTGCGGTGGGATGAATGCCGTATCCATACTTGCCGGCTGGCTGCCACCCAGATATCAGCAAGAAAACTGCTTAGCATGGGTCTCAACTCTGTTAGAGAAATCCTGCTGCACCTGCACATGGGCCACTGACTTGCTGCACCTCGTTTACCAGATATTTATTTACCAGTGACGATTTTATTGCCCGTATGTTAGCCATGACTTTTTACGTGTCGGGTAAGTCTGTATAATGTTGCGGAAGTGATAGATGATTAACGAGCAACGTGCTAAGAATTTTAAATGATACCAGCGATACGCGTACTGATCTTCACTCCGATTCGTTACAACACTGTTTTTTCACTAGAATAAATTATAACTATTATTATTCACGGAGCAGGTAACCAATTTCAGGCTAGGGTGACATACCGTACTAGCATGGGATTTTAAACTTGGCCAGACAGTAAATGCATTATGCATACTATCTGTAGACAGTCAGAACAACGAGGCCATTTAGACGAAAGTGAGCGCTCAAAGCACACTTAAAAGCACCCACAGTAGGAATAGCGAAGACATTAACAGAAATAGAATCTACAAAAAACGGCAAAGTACATTAGTCAAGCGTTGAGAAAGGGTCAACGAAAATCTCTGCGTTTTGTCGGGCATAACTGTCCTCTCTCCTTTTTCTAGTTCAACCCAGGTCTAATTCGCCCGTGAGCATCATTACTGATTGCAACAAAAGACGCTTACCACGGTGTTTTTATAGCGTAGCGTCAAAATTTGCGTCAATTGCTGCCACAGAAAGTTTAGTTAGGCTGGACACATCCAGCAGTTGAAGGTCAACACCCGTCCAATCGTATGCGCTGCCATCTGGACGGAACCCGCAATACCTGAAAAATCATCAAAACGTCAAAGTGCAATACAGCCTGCGCTAAGGCATCCTTCGCCACCGGCAACCTACATCTGAAGGAAGCGTCGAATGGGATGCCACTGATGGGGATATTGCAGCTTGTCCAGCCACCGGCGGTGAACGGAGCGGACCCGATCGTAGACCGTCGATTCCAGCGGAGGACAATTCATCTCAGCCGCCAGCAGAAACTGTCGGAGAGTTCCGGCATAACCGTCAGCGGAATGCAGCATCGCATAGCGGATCGTAATGGGGATCGCACGGTGAACGTGACGCAAATTGGACTTGGTCAAACCGGCTTCCTCCCTAGGAAAGTCGTCGCTAAAAGGAAATAGCGCCAATATATCCCAGTCGCTGGCCATATCCTCCACAAAGTAATTGCGCACCGCCAGCCGATGACAAATGGCCGTAAGCGTGGCTAAATGGTAGCAGTACCATTCATCGCTGGCCACAGCGTCGACGTCATGCGGATGCGCGTCCGTAACACCGTAGCGTGTGCAGCCATTGCGAATGAGGAAATAGCGCAGGCGAATGTTCCTGACAGTAAAAAGCGCCACCAATACCGTGGTCAGCGAGGTCAGATTACTGCAGTACGGGGTATGCTTATCCAGCACAGTCAGACTTTCCGTGTGGCCGGTTATGGCCCCATTCAGGCCCCAGGTAAAGCGGTAGACGTCGTCGTAGAAAGACGGGTAATATTCGCTAACCATCAACATGGAGCTATCGAAGGTGACGTGCCGAAAGGCACGATTGTCGGACAGAAGCTGATGCCACAATGTGCATACCCTGCAATTCATGATGTTGGTCAGTTCGTAAATGCATGTCCGCAAGCAGTTCTGGGCATATCTTCGATAGCGCTTATACTGTAAATTTTATTGATTGGTGAAATAAACGGTTGAAAAGATAAATAAGTTCTTCGATTTAAAAAAAAATGTGGAAAGCCCATGCTGTAAAAGGTCTACTGATTGTTCCGGCATCTGCCTGAATTTGCTCGCAGTTGCGATACGCTAAGATTTTCGGTAAGTGCCAAAACTTTATATTTCTTGCTAACTGACCACGAGAAGACCGACCTGTAAAATGAACTACTGTATATAAGCACTGAGAGCCGTAATCGTGAGCGGTTACTTTTTTGCTTGAGCCTGAGTGTGCAGATCCGGACTGAAAAGAATGTCGGCCATAACCGGATGCACCATGTCGCCAATCCATCCGTCATCCGCTCCAGTAACTGCACTGCCTGCAATCCAGAGCACAATATTACTGTTCGGGAATACTTCGCCCACTAATTTTTTGCCGGGCCTGTTTCTGTATGTCACGACTTAGTAGTTTACTGCAGCTCGACCCAACACACACTGATGGTCTCACACTGATGACCGGTTCGGCCTCGGCGTCCGCAACAGCAACTGTCGCCTCGCACTGGCTTTGACTTGGTCGTGCACTACGAGTACAGCTGATTCCGTCTCCGTACGCCGTACCGCTATTTCTCCGTTCTTCGGTTCCGTCCGCCATACGCCCGTAGGCGGTTGTTTCACTCATAAACAACACTTCTGCCTGATCCATCTGGGAACCTTCGTTCGCGGAATTTCTGCCGTCCCGCTCCAGCGCACGGCACCGTTCCGCTAGTTCATTCAGCTGCCTGCTTAATGTATCTAACACGCACCATACTGAGTCCAGCGAGTCGTCTGTGCTCTCCGGGGCGATGTTGATGCCCATGACATCAAATTCATCCTCAATGAGCATTGTTCGCCTCCCACCTTGGTGCTGTTCCCGCTCTTTAGGCTCCGAGCGGCACATCCTGGCAATGTGGCCTCGTTTGCCACAGTTGCCACAACGGACGTCCTTTGCCCAGCAGTCCGCCATTCTGTGGTCCAGGTCGCCACAGGAGTAACATCCTGCACCTCCTCCGGGCAGTCGACTGGTGCCGGCGGTATCGCCACCGCGGTCGGCTGGGCTGCTCCCTTCATCTCGCCCACCGCCTCTCATGCAGCTTCCGCCTGTGCCGTCGCTTCTTCCCCCAGCTCGGCCTAGTTGACCTTGACGGTGACCTTGGCCACGCCCTTCTGTATTACTGCGCACGATGGCTACGTCAGCCACTTCCGTGGACGCTTGGCCACGCTTGGTGGTCTTGGCCGGCTCGTATTGCTGCGCCATCTCCAGGGCCTTTTCGAGCGTCGTGAAATCTTTGGTCATGAGGTGCTGACGCGTGGCATCGCTGGCCACACCGTTCAGGAACGTCGACGACATGTTCTTTTACAACACGTCTCCGGGGAAGTTGCAGGTAATTGCTTTCCTCCGCAGCTTGTTGGAAAACTCCAACAACGTTTCCCCGGCCTCTTGACGCAGCTGGAAATACATTGCCCACTCTACAGTCGCGTTGGTCTTCCGGACGTATGCCTGCTCGAGTTTATCCACAATCTGAGCATTGGTGTAATCGTCCGGGTCACGCGGCAGGCACATGGAGTGCAGCATTTCCATCGCGTCCACGCCCAAGGCGTCCAGCAGGATGGCCTTCTGTTCATCTGTGTCCGTAACCTTCCTCAACTTGATATAGTTGCGGTATCGAAACTGCCATGACCTCCACGTCATGACCGCAGGTTCGAACCGCAGAAGGCCAGATCCACCATTCTCCTCACGGGGCGCTGCGGGAGCCGTCATATTAGAAGCAGTCACATTACCCGTACTGGGCATTTCTGCTCGCGGAGTATCACACTAGTCGTACCTTCACGCCACTGTCACGACTTAGTAGTTTACTGCAGCTCGACCCAACACACACTGATGGTCTCACACTGATGACCATACGCTAGCAACATGGTTGCTATACTACGCCACACTGTATTAATATATAAATCAGTGTTTTAAATTGACGCGAAGTTTCTTTCCGCGATACTTGTCTGCATAGTGTATGTCATTATGCATACCTGGATAAATAAGTAAGCTGAATAAATACACTGTATTTAGCATCGTTCTCCTAACTACAGCCACTCTTGCATTGCTAAATATCTATTTCGGAAAAATTCAGGAACCAGCTATTCCAACTCGTTTCACTGCTTTGCTTTAAAATGTTTGAATTTAGGTGACGGCTCTGCATACTAGACTCAGCGCATACCCCCTTTATACCACCGTTGACTCCTAGTACCACCTTGCATACTACCTTTGGCTCCTAACACCACCTGTTGTACACCAATTTTGACTCCGCATGCCACTATTTAATTTAAATTTTTAGCAGAAGTGAATTTTTAACATCAAGAAACGAGATCAAATCTTTCCGTGTACCGAATGGAAAAAGATGGCAACTTGAAGGCATTCATCAGTATCGCAACCGACGCTATGGAAAAACAATACGAACGCACACCGGAAATGCGTATTCGTACTGTTTGTAAGGAAGCGTACGAACATCGTACACCGAACAAGGTATCCGAAAATGGCTAGTGGAATATTTTGAAAAGATCAGGATTTAATTGTATAGCCCCCGATTGCAGCATATACAGATACAATGGAAGACAGAATTTACTTAACCTCGGAACCGGTTTTGTGTCTTTAGTTTTAGACAGAGAACAGAGAGAACACGGCTGCCGCGCTTCTGCTCAGTGAGCGGCTATCGCGACGGATATGCGGCGCTCATTCTCGTATGCGCTGTAAGCCGACAGCGGCTGACGGTCCGGAGTTAAGTGAATTTTGTCTTCCATTGTATGTATTGTATATGAAGATTTAATTTAGACGCGCCTGTACACAAGCAAACCATTCGGTTTTACCAGATATCCTTATTAATATTAAATGTTGGTACACGGAGTCAAAAGTGGTGTGCAAAAGGCGGTATTAGGAGCCAAAGGTGGTACTAGGAGCCAAAGGTGGTATGCGGAGCCTTCACCTTGAACTTAACGAAGATTCCCAGTGACCCCACCGTATCACTGAGAAGTGAGTATGATCATGAACTGTTGCACAGTATGTACAGAAAATTAGTATGTTGTGAGGAGCGTTTCATTCAGCGTTTAGGCGTATAAAATCTTGAGCATTATACCGCCAGCCTGGTGGACGGGGGTTCGATTCCCTGCGTTGGCAACATTTTTTGGAATAATGCTCAGATTTCAGGCTTATTTAGGCTTTTCACGCTCTGGTCAGACCGCCGCCGTTAGGCGTACTCCCCTTACAATATAGTACATACGCTCTATAAATGATAAACATAACTGATTATTAATTGCTGCTGGGGGATGTTCATTTCCACGTGGAGCAGCGCCGGATTGGGATAGTGGCTCGTACACGCTCTTATGAGATTCTCTTCATTCCATTCCGCACAAACGTGGTGAGACCGGGAAAAGAGCTGGGCGCAAACAAAATGGAGAGCATCTCCACTAATCTTGACGAAGTAGCGGTCAGAGACAAAGGGACTGCACGACCGCCCACCATCAAACTGTGGCATGTCCAATCCGGCCTCGTATACACATCTGCGAATGGTCTTCTTATCCAGCATCCTAATCATATGGGCATTCTGGAAGGGGACTGTGAATTTACGGTAGATGAAACCGCGGGTCTGGTTAAGCAGCGGCGGCTCATCGATTGGCAGCTTCATGTTGGCGGCAATCTGCCACAAG